TGCTCTCCCGATCTCTTTTCAAATTACTCTGAGAGCGAGAGTAATTTTGAGAGAGAGAGAGAGAGAGAGAGAGAGAGAGAGAGAGAGAGGTCATCTGTGAATACTGGTAGCCAGGTTATTTACTTTTTTGAAGAAAAAAAACATATTATTTATATAACTAAATTAAACCTCACCTACACATACATCGAAATTTTATTTTACGTTTCGATCCAGAAATAAAATCAGTAAATACAGTGTTTCCATGAAAAACAAGATGATGTATTTTTTCTAATCAAAACAACACAAAAAACAAGTTAGTTTCTCTGAAGAATTTTTTCCTAATGAAGATTTAACAAAAATTCTGATAAGATCTTTTAGGGGGAAGGTTAAAATAAATTTTTATGATGACCGATATTAATTAATCATTTTTTGTTTGTTTGTTTGATGGCCAAATAATTATTTTCGTTGCAATTTATTTATTTTTTTTTTCATTCAATGATGTCATCATCAAATGAATGATGGCAATCATTTCGTTGAAATTTCATTTTGGTTTTTTTTGTTGTGTTTGTCATTCGCAACAATGGATTGTCAACATTGATTTTTTTGTTTCATCTCTCCATCATCATTATCCATTATAATCACCTGCAGATGATTTTTCTTATGCATGATTTGTGTTGTCATTCAATTGAAAATTTAAATATTTTTATTGTCAAACTAGAAAAAAAAATTTGATTAATTTAAAAAACAAAGATCGATTTTTTATGCAATAAAATTCAACAGAAAAAAAACAAATCGAATGTCTGTCACATAACATTCGATATATCGATTGTGTAATCGATTGTTGTTGTTTGTTCGTTCGTTCGTTCCGGTTAACAACGAAAAACATTCTTTCGAATAAGAAAATCAACCAGGTGATTCAATAGTAAAATGTTTAATTTAAAATGAATTCAAAAAAAAATCAGCCTTGTAATAATATTGAGTGCGGTAAACAAAAATATTACGAAATTTTATTCAAAAACAAAAACAAAATTCAATAATTTTTTTTTTGCCAACCAAAATCATTCATTGAAACAAAATGGTTTTTCTACATTCATAAATCATTGGTCACACATAATAGGATTTCAAATCGGATGATGAAATGGCCATGACAATGACCAAAAATAAAAAGAAAAATATACAAATCGATGTCAATGCCATTTTGAATCAACCAATTGATCAAAAAAAGTGGACCTTGACATCAACTCCACAACAATATCGATACCAGAATCCTACCACCAAATAATCATTCTTTAATCATTAAAAATACTTTTTTTTCATTTTATATTTCCATTTTTATTCATCAAATAATTATACAAATTTTTAATTGAATTTTTTCCACTATATAAATTAAAGATGAAAAATCTGATCAAGTAAAGTAAATTATCATCATTGTAAAATTGTTTGTTTATTTTTTTGTTTAATTCTAATTCATTCTCATTTTCTTTGGTGAATTAATGATGAAATTTTTCTTGGTTGGTTGGTGTATGTGTATCCAATGATATGATTGAAACCTGAGAAAATGTTTTTTTTTGTTGTTGATGAAATGTATGTTTTGATTGATTATAAAACACCTACATATAAAACCAAACAACAACAGAGAGAAAGAAGTCGAAAGATAGAAAAGGGTGATAATGAATATTAATGATAAGGCCAAATAATGAATGAATTCGGTGTGTCAGAGTGTTTGTGTGTGTGTGGATGTATTTAATCTTAAAATCAATGAATAAATGAATGGATGGATGGCTGATCTGATTTATTTATATCAGATAACATTGAACAACAACAATTCAATTGGAATATGAATGGGAAAGAAAAAGGATCGAGAAAGACAACAACAACAGATGAGAAAAAAAAAGATGCTAAAATTAACAGAATGAATAACAGACATGATGATGATAGGAAATTCTTTTCAAATGTTTTTTTAATTTTAAAATTTTAAAGTTAAAAAAAAATTTGTATGTGATCAATTAATGAAGGCGAAGAAAATATCATTTGTTTGTACCTGAATAAATCAAAAGAAAGAAAATCAATCAATTCAATGAATAATCAATGAAATATATTTTCTTGTCGAAGTATTTGTCGTCATAGTGGTCATCAGTATCATCACAATCAATCAATTTTTTTTTTTTTGATGAATATAACAAGAAAAAACGGAAAAAGTTTTCGGAATGTTTCAAATGTTGTCCACGCACACACACACACATAAATAGAGTAATATTTTAAAATGAATGATGATTTATTTTATTATTATAAAATTCAAATTATTTTCCTTTATAAAAAAAATGCTGGATGTGTGTGTGTCGATAAAAAATCTATAAAAATGAGAGAAAAAAAATTAGAAATTTTTAAATAAATGAATGCAAAACAAACCTGAAGAAACAAACCAAAGAATCACATTGAATTTTATATTATTTTACAATCGTGCCCAAAAATACGATTCTAGATAATGGTAAGAGAATGTGTGTGTGTGTGTGTGTATGAATCATTCGATTTCAATTTTATCACTCAATTTTCTTTTCTTATATTTATTTTCCTGATTTTTTTGATCGTCATCATTAGCAGAAGCAGCAACAGTAGTCTTTCCATTAGCATCATTTTTATTTTCAATTCTTATTGATTGATCTGGATGATCATCATCAAAATCACGTTTATTATTTCTTATTATTGGCGATGATGGTGGTGATTTAATTTGTTCATTATTATTTGAATTTTCATTATCAATAATTTGAGTTGTTTGTTGAATTTGATTATTATTAATCGATATCGAACCGGCAGTCATAATTGTACTGACTGTATTCGATGCGGATGAATTTGTTGTTACTATTTTATTTGATTGTTGTTGTTGATTTGGATTGATCGATATGATTGATGAATCTTTTGCTGTTGTTGTCAATGATGTCGTTGGTGATGATGATGATGATCCTGTAGTCGATGTAGTTGTTGTTGTAATGGAAATCATTTCCGTTGATTGTTGTTGCTGCTGCTGTTGTTGAAAATATTCTGAATTAGTTGATTCTACAATAACTTTTTGTAATTCATATTTTATAACATCTTTTTTCGATTGTTCCAATCGTCGTAATGATGAGGCAAGACTACGACAAAATGCCATATCTTCATCTTCATATTGAATTATTGTTTCACTTACAATTTTACGGATTACATTATGTAATTCATCATTATTACAAATAATATTCGATTTGGTTGATGTTAATGAATAGATACCACTACTATTACTACTGCTATTTGTTGTTGTTGATGATGATAAATTTAATGAATTTGTAACATTATTTCCAATCGATGTATTATGATTATCACCGTCACCACCATTTGTAAATATAAATGATGCTTGTTGTTGATCTTGATGACTGGAATTTAATTTTGAATTCGATGATGATGATGATGATAATCGAATAGTTGAATTTATTTGTTGTTGTTGCGGTGTAATTATTGTTGATGATTCAAAATTTGATGGTGAATGTCGTTGTTGTTGCTGTCGATGATGGGAATGATGATGATGATAATCTTTGGTTGTTGAAGTTGAATAATTTAATGTTGATGATAAACTTTTACGTGCTGTTGGCGGAGATGATAGTGATTGTATCGAGACCAATTGTTGTTGTTGATGTTGTGATTGTATTGGACTTATTGAACCTGATAATGATGATTGACGGATACGATGACTACCAACACTAGTATTGATATGATGTGAATGTAATGTTGGAACAGCGTTTGCCAATGTTGTCAATACAAATGTAGGCGTTCCAGGTGTTTTTACAGCTGTAACCGGAACGGCAACACTACTACCTCCACCAACACCACTATTAATCGTCGTTTGAGAATTTGCAGCAGTCAATAATGCAGGTGATAATGATTGTAATTCAATAACAGGATTCTTAAAAAATATTGCCTGATGTTGTGATGTTGATGATGATGTTGTTGTTGTCGTTATTGCTGTTGTAGTTGATGATGATGATGTTGATTGACCATTACCACCGCCACTTGTTAATCGATTCGATAGATTAACACCACCATTTATTTGACCAATAGTGGATGATGTTGCCGATGGAGCCTGTATCACTGAAAATGCTGTTGGATGAAATGTTGTTTGTAAAGCTGTTGCTGCTGTACAAGGAATACGTTGAGCAATGGCGGATGTACCAATTATTCCAACTAAAAAAAACAGAAAAACATCAATTTTGATTTTTCTAATTAATTAATTATAAAATGACAAACCATTACTAAGTGGTAAATGTAATGTTGATTTGGCACCATTAATTGCATCTTGAGCATTTATAATAATAACTTCTTGTTGTTGCTGTTGTCGTTGTTGATCCACTTGATGTTGTTGATGACCAACACTATGAACAGCCCGAATTGTATCAACATATTCTAAATCATGACCATTTTGTATGGATGTTGTATCATCATTATTATTAATTAATACAGCAGTACGACTATTTCCAATAATTGATGATCTATTTCCGATAGTGGTGGTAGTAGTAGGATTAGTTTGTGATTGATCACCACCACCACCACCTCCACTACTACTTATTTCACCATTAGATAAAATATGATGATTAGGATGAACATTATTATTATTGCTATTATTGGCTAAAAAGAGCATATTTGTATAATGTCTCCAACGTGATACATATGGTTGTTGATGTGAATGCGTATTTCCGTTCGATGTTGAATTTCCATTATCATCAACACCTTGATCATCAGTACTATTATTGGTGTTTGTCGATGATGAACTTGTAACACGTTTATGTTCACGAAAAAATGTTGTACGTAAATTTCGATATTTTTCATAAACATCTTTACCTTTTATAAAGATAAGAATCACGATGATTAGACAAACACACATTAGACATTCTTAAAAAAATATAATCATAACTTACGTGTCAAACGTAATTGATCAGCAATATGATCCAATTTATCTTGTCGTAATGTACGATTATTATAATCTTTATCTTTTGTATTCCATAATGATGGATTAATACGAAAATAATCAATCAATTCTTTTTCTTGTTCAAATGATAATCGATGCATTTTTTTAAATGAAAATTTTGTTGTTGTTTTTTTGTTTAAACTGATTGAGATTTTGATGATGGGATAACGATTGATAAATATTTATTTAAAATTGATTAAAATTTGAAATATCACAAGTGTTAATTCATTTAAAAGATTTGAGTAAAATGAAATTGATGAATGAAAACGAATGAAAAGTGACAGAATATTACAAATATTGTGGCACCCACACACAAGTAAAATTGATGAAATAAAACCTTTTTGTTTCTTGCAAAAAATAAATTCTTTGGATCTTTTTTTGTTTTGATTTTGTATTTGCAATGAATTTTTCAATCAAAATGTAATCAAACCATCATCATCATGATGAAAAGACGAATAAAATTCGGGCACCTAAATGAATGCAATAAAAAAAAAAATTGATTAATTTTTCAATCAGAAACAAGAAAATTTTTATAATCAGCAACATTGTGTAAATTCAATTAATTTCATGTTGTTGTTTTGCTTTGCAAAATTACTGTTGTAAACAGAAATTGTTGAATTTAAAAAAAAAGTAAAATGAAAAAAAAAACAAAAATTGAATAGGAATCGACGATTCTTGTGTATGAATATTATTGTCAATATCGATATAATGGATATTTTTTTTTTCTTTTGATAGAGCAATAAAAGGAATGGTAGATTATATAGAATGCGCATTTATCAAAGTCCATTATCATAATTGATCTTTAAAAGAAAATCATATAATGATGACAACAAAATGATGGACATGTTTAATAAGAACGGATATTTATTTTGAAATAAAAAAAAAATATGGTTTATAGAGTAAAGCTCAACAACAACAACAACAACAACAAACCAGATGATGATATCCAAAACGTTAAAAAACAAAAAGAGAAAAAAAACCGGAATACAAAAATACCGGAAAATGAAAAAAAAAATTTTGTTGCCATGCTTTTTTTTCATTTTCTTTCCAAAAAAATTTCTTTTCATTCAACAAGAATGAAAAGAAAACAATAAAAAAAACCAAGTTAACAACAAAAAAAAAAACCGGCAAATTTCCGGAAAGTTTTCTTTCTACTTTTTTTCGATCGAATATTATATGGGTATGATGAAAATGAATGAGAAAAACTTTCAATCTTTGGATCATTGAATGACATAGATACAGCAAAGCACACACAAAACAAGGAATTTTTTTGTTCCATTTTGAAGAAGAAGAAGTTCTTAGATATTGAATTAAAATTGGTGACAAATAAAAGAAAAGTTATGATGGAATTCTATTGTTTTCATTTCTGGAACAAGAACATTTTATTGAAAAATAACACAAACACTGATAATGATCATCATTTTCATGGAATCTAATTTCAATAAAATCTTTTCAAAGCAAATGAATTCTAAAATTATGTTGCGTTTTTTTCATTTTCATTTCCAAATTCAATCAACAAAAACAATCGAAAACATTCTTACCTTAAGAAACACAAAATCAGAAAGCATAGAAATGAAAAACCTAACAATGAAAATTCTTCTTGATGATCTTGATCATCTATTGATCAATGATGATGATAATTGTTCGGATTTAAAATTGTCCAGTTTGGTTATTCAGTTCATCACACATTGATCAAAGAAAATGAAAAGAAAAAAAATCAAAATCAAACACATATAAAGAAAAAATTGAAAACGTGTATATCTCAAGTCAAATCATAAATTGTGGTATCATTTTTTTTCTTTTACTTTGGATTCACACACAGACACATTTGATTTTTTTTCGACTGTTGTTGTTGTTGTTGTTGTTTTTGATCATGGATTTTTTCGTTATCCATTTTTACACTTGTATATTTTCGGATGACTTCGATTGAAGGATGTGTTATGTGTGATCAACGCTTTCATATGTGTGTTGATCACGTCGTCGTTGTTGTTGTTGTTGTTGTTGTCGTCATCGAATCAAGCCGTCGTCTATTTTCTTTCAACTTTTTTTTTCGATGGATTAAATTGCTGCAATCACATTTCAATCTAACCAGAAAATAAATGGAAACAAGCAAAAAAATGAATGAAGATCATACTTTTTTTGCCATCAATTTTTTTTTTCTCTCTCTCTCTCTCCTTGATTATCAATTAATATTAATTATCATTCAATAAAATGATGATTGTTGTCGTCGTCTGTTTAATCAAAAAAATGATCAAAGATTCACAACAACAACAAAAAAAATTGGTAATTTTCCTGAGGGGGTGGTTGGTTGTGTGAGTTTATTGGTTGGATTTCAAAAAAAAAAGACCAGATCAATCAAAATTGATCAAACTAAATTTTTGGTTTGTGGTTTCTATTTTAAAATTGATCATTTTGTTACTGATAAAAAATTGGTTGTTATGGTTTTTGTTTTTTTTTTTTGATTAAACATTTTAAATTTAAAATGAAATTTGTCATCATCTCCTTATCTCACAAAGAATCTATTCTCGTTACATGTAACACATTTAGATTTTCCAAGATTTTATTTAAAAAAAGGTTAAAATTCATCATTAATGCTAGAAAAACTATGGACATTTCAGAGTGTGGCAAGAAATAAAAAAAAATTTCAATGTCGTCTTTATTGGTTATGTCAATGATAATTTTTTGTTGTTGCTGTTGTTGTTGATTATAATCAAAACTATTTTGATTGACGATGATGATTGTAAATTAAGGGAACAAGTAATTAAATTTAATCAATCAACTCAATAGAATAGAATGGTAAAAAAAAGAGAGATAAAATGAAATTTATTGAAAGAGAGAGAGAGAAAGAGAAAAATGAGTGCAAATTTGTTTCTTGGTATTTGTTGTTGTTGTTGTTGCTATCCGTAAAACAACAAACATAATTCGTGTGAAAAATTCGTGAAAAAAAAAGAATTTCAAAAAAGAATCTTAATATTTGAATGAAAATGGATGGATAAGTTGGGTAAATTTTCTAAAATTATTATCATTGTTTTTTCACTTATCAACAATGGGAGTTTCTTTTCATTGTTTTTTTTTAATTTTACTAATTAAGATTGGAAAATCACCTGGGTTACACACACACACAGAGAGAGAGAGATAACCGTAATATTGTAAATGGAATGATGCAATCAAACCAACAAAAAAAATTGAAAATGGATACAACATTAAGCAAGAGATAGAATCACCATAGAGAGAAAGAATTGAATGAAATAAAATTGCTTCAAATTGAAACTTTTCAATTTAATTCATTGATGAATAACAATTTAAGATAATGATGATGACATTATCTTGTTTGATGTTGAATTCTTTTTTTTTGTCATTTGTCTATTTCTGATACACTCGTATTGAAGAGAGAAAAAATACAGATCAATTTATCTTAATTGATTAAATGAGCAACAACAACAACAAAAAAAATCACATCACATCATATCAATTTATAAATGGTAAAATTTCAATGAATTTTTTCGTTTCATTTGTAGCCAAATGAGATATCACCAACACATCGCACCATAAAATGAATGCATGAATTTGATCATCAAAACAACAATATTCAATTGGGCATTTGATAACGCTTGATGGCTGTTGCCTGTCGTGAAAGAAAGAATTCGGCGCCAATTTTTCGAGCATTGTGAATAATGTGTGGAGCCTATTTCATTGTTTCATTTTTTTGATTTCCATTTTGGCGGGTTAACTAAAACCAGCCAAGCAGCAGCAGCAGCAGTAGCACAAAAACAAAAAAAATACACAAAAGATATACCAGGTAGTAATGTTTTTTTTGTGTAAAATATTGCAGGTATAAAGAGATACACACATCACAGAACAAGAACTGCACACACCGGCTATAGCTATACACATCACACACAGGTTAACGCCGGCTTAGCCATCCTCATCATCATTTATCTTGATCAACCTTCAATGTATAAATGAAAACACGTACACACCCTACTTCCATATTCTAGAATCTAGATACACCTACTCAAGAATGTTTATTGGAAAAAAAAATTTCCAAAATGAAATAAATTTCAATCAAAATGAAAAAAGGGAATTTCAAAATTTAAAATTGGTTGCTTGCATTTGTTTCTTTTCAACATAATTGATTTATTGCATAATAATAATTTTTACCGATAAAATAGACAACAAAAAAAAAATCTTACTTGAAAATCTTACGATGATGATTATATTATTATTATTATTATTATCTCACCATAAATTATCATCAACATGGATTGTGATGGAAATAATAATTTTCCATTATATAGATATTTTATCGTTGTTTGTTTGTAGTTGTAGCGTTTGTTTTCGGATCAATGTGTGTGTGTGTGTGTGTGTGTGTATGAAAATTGCAACAAAAATAATCGATTGATTGATGATGATGTGGATGTGATGTGTGATCGTGTTGTATGGTATAGTCGATTGTTATGTGGTTGTGAGAAAAGAGTTGTAAAAAAAACAACAAGAATCGATAGTATATTACGAATTGGATTCAATATCATTGGCGAGAAAACAAGACAAAACAAATTGATTTTTGAAACAAATTTTTCACACACCCCTACAAAATATACACACACACAAGCCATTCAAGGCTTGCGGATGATCAAAATCATAAATTCTTTATTCAAATCTGTTTTTTTTGGATCTGATTCTTTTATCATCGATAATTGATTGATTAATTAATTTGTTGAATTGAGAATAGATCTTAAAATTGATTTAAAAAAATTGAATAGAATTAGAAACATTTGAGAATTACAATAAGAATTGTATACACACCTTTTCACAATTGATAAAATACAGGTCGCAACAATATAGGACAATGATGTTATTTGTTTTGTTTTGCTATTGTTGTTGTTGTTTTTTCAAAAAAAAAAAATTATTGCAATGAAAAAATTGATGATTTTTCAGAAATTATAATTTATTTTTTTATAATTGTCTCTTAGTGTCGGCCGATATCGGCATGTCGACGACTACGACAACAACGGGCAACAATATATCGTCGACAATCAATGTTTTTTTTCTATTTTCAATGATGATGATGATGATAATAATTGTTGAAACAAAATTTATTAATTTACTTGAATAAAACACACATTCTTTTCGTCGGTATCCATACGATATTTTCGTTTGTGTAAAGTGTGTGCTCGGTTTACATCATCAACATCAACATCAACATCAGCAACAACGAAAAAAAAAATAACGAAGAGAAACAACGACGACGACGACGACAACAACAACAACGATCATGCATGATTTGTATTAAGCCGAAAAAAAATTTGTATTTTTTTTTTGCAGACGGCAGCAATCATCATCATCAACACACTGCAGTTTTGCTTTACATATTTTCTATGTAACAAAAATTCATCGAATTTCTCGAGATATTCTCACTTCCAGCAACCATACATTTTGATGATGGAAACTTATATTTTGTCGTGTATACGGATACAACCAACCAAATCAACACAAAATAAGTTTGCAATATTGCAACATTTCTCTCTTTCTCTGAATTGATGTTGTATTTTCTTCCGAAGATATATATAATGTATATCAAGAAATTCCACTACTACGGAGGATTTTTTTGTTTTGTTGAAACTATATATATATTTCCTTAAATAAGGTAGTAGGCTATTTAAGTGTTAAAAAATTCTTTAAAATATCAGCTAAAACGGATTCTGTTGTGTGTGTATAATGTGTATATGGATGGATACTTTTTTGGATTTTTTTATATAGTAGTGGTAAATGATGATGGATCCAATTTCCAATATAAAAGTTACTGAAAAAAAGAAAAAGGTGTGCAATTTTTTTTTTAAATATTCGTTTTGAGCATGCGTACAATCAAATAAAGTATTGAAAGTCGAAAGACCGGTATTTCTGCCAGTGGCAGCAGCAGCAGCAATGAATTTTCAAATCTTAAAGAATTTGAAAAATTCTTCAAAAAAAATTACAAATCAAAATTATTTTATAAATAAATAAAATTTCTTTATTTGTTCATATTATTTAAATTTTTTATAATCATTCGATAACTAAATGAGAAGGCCATATATAAGTTTGTGTGTATCGAGTATAAATTTTTTATAATTTTCACTTTTTAAAAAAAATATAAGAAAAATGGTCAATTTGATAAAAGTTTGAAATTTTTCTTGTGGTTTTGGAAAAAGGTCGGTGGGAAAAAAAAGTATACAAAGAATCATGTTTGAATCATTGTCGAAATTTACAAAAATTTTAAAGTTTTTTCTCCAGAATGGAAAAACAAAACAAAAAAAAACTTTTTTGAAAAGAAAAATGGAAACCATAACCAAAAGTGTGAGAGAAAACAAAAATGAAATAGTTTGTTGTTCGCGCGGGAAAGTGATTGAAATTTGTAAATGGAGATTAATGAGTGAAGAAAAAAAATATAAAGAAAATTTGTAGAATCAAATTAATTATAACATTGATTTAAGTGTGTGTTTGTGTGGGTGGATGTCAGTGTCCGATGATTATTGGTTTTTGTTTTTGATTGATTGTGAATCAAATGAAACAAACAAAAAAAAAAGAAGAAAAACAAGAAAATTTGAATAAATAGAAATTGAAAACATACATCAGAAAACAAGCAATGAGAAAATGAAAATGAAAAAAAAAATACATAAGGCATCTCCGAGAACAACAAAATTAAAGTGGGAAAAAAAACCTAATCAGGAAATTCATTTTGTTCAGTGTATTTATCATGAAACAAACAAACAAACAAAAAATGAACGAAAACAGCAAAAAAAAAACAGGACAAATAAACGAAACGAAACAGAAAATCATCATCCGCATCATCTTGATGTGTTAACATTTTATAAATATGTATAGAGAGTATATGAAAAAATCTAACGATAAATAAATTTCATTCATTTGAATTATCAGATTATCATTGAAACAAAAACGAAAAATGTAATGTATATCATTCACATCATCATTATTCATGGCATAAAAATATATTAAAATATTAGATTATTTAGGCGATTCAAAAGAGAAAGAGAAAATTGTGAAAGCATTATGTAAAATATATTGCACTGAAAAACCAAAATTATCAATCAGTCATCGATAACAATTGTTGATATTCGACGACGTTTTCTTGGTTTTTTTATTGATACAATTTTCGATACATCTGTTGCTGTTGTCGACATTTTCATTAAAATTCTTTGACGTATCGGCTGTTCATTAACAAAATTATCTGTATCATCCTCATCTGATTCTTCATCATCGGATTCAACATTATTATTATTACGATCCATTAATCCAAATGAATGATTATCATCGTTATCATCATTACAATTATTTCGTGGACGTTTTGAACGTATCATCATTGTATTTGCGTTTGTTTTTGATATGGATGATGATTTTGATAATGTAGCTAAAAATGCTTCAACCTTATTATCAGTAATAACAGTGTTATTATTCGGCATCATATTGGAAGAAGCAGCAATCATTGCAGATGAAACGGATGTTAAGGATGATAAATATGATGATGACGATGATGATGAGGAAGAGGATGATGATGATGCTTGACCAACACCGACTATGTTCAAACCATTTCCAGTCGATGAAGATGATAATGAATGTATACCAGAATCATAACGGCGACTTGATGATGATGACAGGGTTGATGATGATCCAGATGTGATACTAAAATCAATTACTTCAAATTCAACCGATTCATTGCCATCATCATCATTATCATTAGTTTTTTGCGTAGAAATAATACTATTCGATTCGTTTGTGTTTATTGAGCCTGATGAACTTGAAATAGTTGTTGTTGTCGTTTTTTTCTTTTTGAATTTCATTTTTAATCCTTGTGATCTTTGTTCAATAAGATTTGTGTGATTAATCAATTGTTGTTGTAACGATGGCATAGTTGATGTTTCCATTGATTCACTACTGACATGTTTTGATGATGATGATGAAAAACTTGATTGATGAGAAATTGATGATTGTTTGGTCATTGTACGTGATGATTGCAAAGTTTCTTCATCATTTATCGGGAATTTACATGTTAAATCTGGATCCATTATAATCATTTCATTAATCCATGGATGCTTCAATAATTGTTGCATAGTCAAACGTTGTTTTGGATTGATTGTCAATAGACCATTGATCACAGATTTACATTGAGCAGATATTTTTACCTGACTATTAATCCACATTGTATCATGATTCAATTCTTGTCCAGAAAGTATTCGTTCCAGAATATATGAAGCATAATTATTGACAGCAATAGATTTTTTTGAATTCGTCGGACATGAAGATTCTCGTTGCTGTTGATAATGATAATATGATTGTTGAAATGGTACACGACCAGTGAGCATTGTGTAAAGAACAGCACCAAGACTCCAAAGCTATACATTATTAATAATAAATTATCAATTATATTTGAAATAAAAAGACACAACAACATACATCACAGCTATTATCATATCCATCACGAAATAAATGATTAGCAAACGATCCGCGAGTAGTTGTCCATGAATCGATAGCTGATCGATTCGATGTAATTATTGAACTTGATTGAGATTGTATCACAGCCTGAAAAAGAACCTCTGGTGCAGCATAATTTAATGTACAACACGGTGTTGTCATTCGATAACCAGATGATGGCATAAAACGAGCAAAACCAAAATCAACCAATTTAATTTCAGCTTGATCATCATCATTAAAATCTTCGGTGGTTGTATCTTTGAAAAGGACATTCTTTTTTTTAATTGAAAAAGAATTGATTAATTAGCTATCTGTCAAGTCAAACATGAAACAGAAACAAACCTCTGGTTTTAGATCACGATGAACAATGCCAAGGGAATGTAGATATTGTACAGCTGAAACAAGTTGACGAAATACTAGCCATGCTTGACGTTCACTAAAACGACGATTTGTTGATTGACGAATACGTGATAATAGTTCACCACCCGGTAATAATTCTAAAACAATAAACATATATTTGTCATCTTGAAATACTTCATTCAATTGTACAATATTTCGATGTCCCTGACAAGCATTTAATAATGATCGTTCATTTAATGCAGCATCATATGATAATCCAGTTTCTGAATCACGACGCCAATGACGAGATACAATTTTTACAGCAAAATGTTCACCAGTTTTACGGTGACGACAACGATGACATATTGAATAGCTACCATCACCAAGCCATCCTAAATCCGGATATTGTTCATTCATCGATGTTGATGGTTGTTTACGTCGTCCTGGCCCAACCAATTCATAATGATCAAAGAATTGATGATTTATTGTTTTCGATACATTTTGATTGTCGGAACATTCATTGACTAGTTTCCAAATATCGGGCCTATGAACACGATGTGTTTGTATTTGTTGTTTTGGTTGGTGATATGATCGAGATGATCGATGGATCGGTGGACGAGTCGATGATAATGATGACGTTGGTGATTGATCAATGACTAATGATGGTGCTACATAAGAATAATCATCAAATGGATCATCTTCATCATCGCTATTAGGATCACAATTATTATTCGAATCGGCAACAGGTTGTTGGTGTTTATTCTGTCCTGTTGAAGATGGTGGATCATTACCCATCAATAATGATACATTTGGTACAAGACGTGTGAATTCTTCGGCAAAATTACTTGTATCTAATTCATCACGAATATTTGGACGAAATGGCGCGGGTAAACGTCGCTCGGCTAATGCTTTCCAATCGATTGATAGAAAAAATGGATGCCGTTTAATTTCATCGGCATCACGACATCCACCACCTAATCTTCTATCCGGATCTTTAACTAGAATCACTTGTAATAGATCACGAACTTCAGCGGATAAATGGCCTGGTATCGGTGGTTGTGAACGTAGAATTCTTTTCGAGATCTCTTGTTGTGTATTACGTTCACCATCGACAGTGAATGGTGAAGCACCAGTAAGTAGTTCATAGATTAAAACACCAAATGACCACCAATCAACTATTATAAGAAAGTTTCAAATAAATTAAAATCAATTTTAAAATGTTGTCCGAAAAATTTTACACAAATAACGCTTACCACTAAAATCATGTCCATTACCACCAACAATTTCCGGTGCCATATATTCAATTGTTCCACAAAATGAATGTGTACGTTTTTCCTATATCCATCAAATGAAAAAAAAAATTAAAATTGAAAATTTTCACAAAAAAACTACTAAAAACACAATTACAGTTTCATGAGGTAGAAATTGTTTACAAAGACCAAAATCGGCCAATACGATATGTCCATCATGATCTAATAGAATGTTTTCTAATTTTATATCACGATAAATAATGCCAAGCTAAATCAAATCAAAGAAACAGATATTTATTTTCATTGATAAAAAAATGTTACAATTACAAATTACCTTATGTAAATTTTCCAATGCTAATACTAATTCGGCTGCATAAATACGTACAGCATCTTCGGTAAAATAATCACGTTGATATAAATGTGTAAATAATTCACCACCATTAACATAATCTATTTTTAGTAATATGAAAAAAATATTGATCGATTAAATTAATCAATTTCAATCACCATCAAATTTATCAACCAACCAAGAATAAGATGTAATTTAGTGGCCGTTTGAAATGCATAATGTAATGATACAAAAAATGGTCGATTTCGTACTACTTCCAACACTAAACGTTCAGTACGTGTATGTTCCAATGTTTTCTGTTTTTGCATTACAGATGATTTTTTCAATACTTTCATTGCATATAATTTTCCATTATCTGGACCGCTAATTTTTCTTACTAAAAATACCTTTTTTTAGTGAAAATATAAATTCCGAATTATAATGTTAAAAATAGTAACATCAAACAATCAAAACAAACCTTTCCATAAGCACCAGTTCCAAGAACTTTGAGTATATCAAAATCATTCATATCAACAGTTGTTATTGTTGTTGTTGTCGATGTTGATGATGTTTTTTCATTATCCGTCTTCATCATCATCAATTCAATATTTTTTCCACGAGTTTTATGTCGCTGTCGTCGATATCGATGTTGTTGATGATAATGTTGTGGACGTTGATGGCTATTACCATCAATAATCAAAGAATTTCCATTTTCTTTGATTAATGATTGTTTATTTTGTAAAAAATTCGACAAATTATTTTGTTTTCTTTCAATGGTTGTTGTCGTTGTTGGAGTGGTTGTTGCTGTTACGGATGGCAATTTCATTTGTTGAGATCGTCGTCGTCTTATTGCTAATTTAATTGTTTTAAAATTTTCATTATTAATTTTTGTTGTAAAATTTTTGGACAAATTCAGATCATTTGCATTTTGTTCATTATTTATTGCTATCGTATTAGTAGCAGTAGTAGTAATAGTGTTTGATGGGTTAATGACATTCATTGATTGCGGTTGTTGACAATTATCCAATTCAGTCATTACATCATTATTCAATATTGTTGTTGTTGATAAATGTTTTAAATCAAGAATTTCATCATTCAAAAACAATGGTGATGATGATGATGACATTGACCGATGTTGATCAATATTTGTTGTTGTTGTTGTTGATAATTGTTTTTCATTAATTAATGAAGTTTTCAATATTGGAATAATGTTGTTTGCAACGATGTCACCATCATCATCAACATCGATATTATTACATTTGAACACTGTGGCATTGATCTTTGAATCTGTTGTCGTCGTCATTAATGTTTGCTGTGGTTGTCCATTAACATCAACATCCGAAATCAATGACCGACAACAACAACTATGATGATTGTGAGATGTTGTTAGTTTTATATTTTGACAACAACAAACACAACAATTTTGTATGATTTGTTGTTCTCGATGATGATTTTGGCAACAAATTTTTGAAAAACATGATGTTGATGATTGTTGTTGATTCTGATTCAATATAGAATCATTCACTATAATTGAATAAGAGGAGAAAAAAAGACAATTTTTAATTTTGATCATCAAGCATAAACTTCTTTTCTTTTTAAAAGTTTATCCTTTTTATCTTTGGCACATAAGTATGTTTTTAGTTCAGGTAATATTTTTATTTTGGATCAAATCGAAAAAAAAATTTCTTAAGAAAAAATTCAAGGTTTTTAGTTTCAAATTTTTTTTAAAGACAATAACAACAAAATACGACGTAGAGTTTTACTTGAGAAATCTGTCGCTTTTTTTCGATTTTAAATTTTGAAAAAGATTAATTTATAATTTCGAAATAAACTTACGATAAATTTTTTTTTTGATCAAAAATAAAAATTCACATCATCAACTGAAAATTATGGGAAAATTTTGTTCAAAATTCAACAGGACACAAATCAGAAACGATTAAACACACACACACATAGAAATTCTTATTGAATCAAAGAATTTTATTTAAAAAATGATAGTATTCGTCGTCGTCGTCGTCTGTCAATCTTAATGTTTTAAACCAAAAATAAAATTTCCTCTCTTTTTTTCACCCATTTAGCCTGTTGTTTTTAGTTAACTATCATCGATGTCTACATATGACACTTGATGATAATGATGAGATCTCTCTCTCCTTCGAATGTGATCCTACTACAATGATGGAGCATAAATTAAAGTGAGCCATGAATTGGAAAAAAATACAAAAACAGTGAGTTTGAGAGAGAGAGAGTAGCAAATATTTATGCGTTGTTGCCGTTGTATGGATTTTTTTGGCTTTGCGATCATATAATGTCGCTCATAGAACAAAATTATCATTTAAATGATAATCGAATAGTGGAAAAAAATGTCAAACATCATCAGTATCGAAAAGAGAATATGATTTCAATGGAATTTCGGTTCAATCTAACTTAAAGAGTGATTAAGAACTTTAAATCAATGATGTTGTATGAATGAATGATGTAACGGGATTCTAAATTAACAGTTGGATATTTTAACTACGTTTATGACAAAATTGTGTGTGCGTGATTACAGGTGATTATAAAACAAAAACAACGCATGCGTCAATTTGAAATCTATAGACGCGCCGAATTCAAAAACAAATCTATATTTTTAAATGAATTTTTTCACCAACAACAACAAAAAATGAAATATGAAAGAAAAGAAAATCTTTACTTATTTCACCTTTAGGCGAATATATTAATGATGATGTTTTACTTAGTAAAAAAGAATGTATGACCTCAATATTATCATCATCATCCGAAACGATGATAACCTGTCATTCTTGTTTTTTTTCCTAAGCTACTACCACAATAACTGTTACTACTACAATTCCATTATTATTATCATAATAATCATTACCATTAAATCATTGATCATCATCCTTCTGTGTCACAAATCATTATGTCATCGTTGGAACAAGATTTTCCTAACAATGTTTTTTTTTGGATTGAAAAAATTGTTTTTTTCCAATACTTTCAATTTCGGACAAAAATATATCCGAAATTGAAAAGAAAAGAGAGAAAAGAAATTCTTAACCGATTTTGAATATGAACAAAATCCAAATGTTTATTATGGAACCTGTTTTTTGTTTGCAAGCTTTGAAACATAATTTCTGTTTGTTTGTTTGTTTGTGAACATTCATTTTCTCTCATTATCATTATGCCCAAATCATGATAATCATTTTGATTCGCCAAAATGAAACGAAATAACAACAACAACGACAAAATAATGATGAATTTCATTACACAGAAAAATAATGAATGAATTAATTAAATGTGCATTCATTCAAATGATAATGAGATATTTTTTTGAAATGGAAAGAAAATTTTCCAGAAAAAAAAAACAACAAAACATTCTTAGAGTCATCTTTCAAATACAATATTTGTCAAGCATCGAAACAATCGAAAAATTTTATTCAAAAATATACAATATTCTGATATAAAAAAAAGTGTTAATCTCTTTTTTCTCTCCCTCTATCTCTTCATCCGATATAAATGTAAAAAATGGATCATATCCACCATCATAATGAATTTTGGAAAAAAATCAGGACAGTAGAGCACTGGGTAAATCAGTTAGTCTGTTGTTGATGTATGACCTACAGGTTTGAATAGGAAAAAAAACAAGATTGTCATTCCTTTTTGAATAAAAAAAATACGGTTATTGTAACTGTTGTCGTTTATCGTTGGGTATATTGTTACACCGGTGATCTTTTGATTCTTCTTTTTTTCATTGAATTTCTTTCGTTCTGTACTGCTGCTCACAACAAGAAATCAAAACCAACAAGATTTTTTTTTGAGAATCATCAAGTGAAAAAAATGTTGTAGTGGTTCAAGTTGTGCGAGAGAGATATTTGTCATTATTTTTTTTCCTTACTGACCTCAAATATTATTTCAATGAACGAGAAAAAGAAAAATCTTCAATAGTCATCATATAAAATGGATGGATGAATTCCGAAATACCAAAATCAAAAGGTAAACCGGACTGGTTATACATTCGTTTTGAAAAAAAACGTTTGAGTAAACGAACAAAACAAAAAATCATTAATCAATTGGAAGAGAAAATAGCCATTGATTTTGGCGGAGGAGGAATCTCCTCACATCGATTTCAATATGTGCTTTTTTCTTTATGGTATCAATGGAGAAAGGTATTTCCTTATCCACAATTTTTTTTTACTTCCGAAATGTGAATTAAACACAAACACAAGATGAACAACAAGAGAATAGTCAATATGAAAGAAAGAACGTAAAAAAATAAATGTTGCGCAACAAGTTATATATGATGGTCAACAAGCACAATACATAGCAGTTTTTTTTCGAGGATACATACAGGATCATACCAAATACAAAGAGATACAAAAAGAAGCCGAAAAAAACCTGTTATATAATTTGTTGTTGTTGTTGTTGTTGTTGTTGATGTTTTTTTTGTCGCTGTCGAAACAGTCGTCGTAGTAGTAAAATATGTGTTTGTGACTTAGTGACTGAATGATCTAAATTGTTACGATTTTTTTTATTCGTTCATTCATTCATTTCATTTCTTTAGGTTAGATCTGGTGATCATCATCATTAAGAAATTAATAATGATATGAAATAAAGTGGTCAAACAAGGTATAATGAAGGAAAAAACAATGTTTATTAATTATGTTATTGTAATTTATTTTTAATAAGTTTAAAAATTTAAATTTTCTTCAAAATATCATTGGAAAATCAAAAAGGGAGAAGAAAAAAAAATCTTGTCATTTTGGATGATCATTTTTTTTTTGCCAAACGTTTTTCAATCGGGAAAAAAACAAATTTTTTCAAGATTTCTCTTTTGGATTTTTTAATATTTTTTTTTTCAACCGAATACAATACAGACATCGAATCAATCATCAATGATTTAAATGGACAATGAAAAAAACTGATGATGATGATCATCATTTGGGAATGTATTTCATACGCAAACACACAATTGGAACATCATTATTTTTGAAAAGCATCCGTTTTTTTTCGTCTATCTTTTTGTTTGTCAAAATTGAAAGTAAAGAGTCAAAAAAAAAGTTGTTTTACATGCAACGTTCTCTTTTCTCATCGAAATATTTCCAGTTCTTGAAGATTTCCCCCCCCCTGTTATTCAGAATGTTTACTTTTACTTTTCTCAATTATGGTTACATAATTTTCATTGGGAAAAATAGAATTTTTTCATTAAACGATAGGAATCACTAGAGAATTTCCTGGAAATTTTATCAACGATAAACATTATTCTTTTTTTTTTCTTCAACCAAGAATTCTTCGAAATTAAATGAAAACCACACCTGTATTTTAATTATATCCGATGAAAATCATGTATTTCTCAATAACACACACACCTGTTTGAAAAACACAGAACCACAACCAGCAGCAGCAGAAGAAAACAAATCAAATTTGACAAAAGCCAAAATTCTGTTTATTTACTTTGTATTTTGGTTTAAGAAAATCGTATATTCTGCACTCATTTTTTTCCCCAAGTATCTTATATTCTGTGTTCAAACAAAGAAAATTCTTATTTATTTATTTCGATTTTGGGTGTGTGTGTGCTCTATGTAATCAATTTCAATTCAGATTCTTTGTTTTGTTTTGTTTTTTTCAAAATAAAACAAAAAAAATCCTAGATCTGGTTGAATTGTTGTATCAATCATTTTAATCTTATTACAGCAGAAAAAAACAAACAAACATTAAATTTGAACCAAATGAAAGTAATCTTTTTTTTTTGTTCAAAACAATCATTAAAACAAAACCCACACACAGATTCTCATTAATTATTTTTCTCTAAATTTCAAATGGTAATGAACTTTTTGTTGTTATTTTGTTTTTGTACGAATTGTTTTTTTTTTGTTTTCATTAAAATGAATTCAATGGGGGAGGAAAAACAATAATAATAATATGATGGTAAGATAGAAAATTCATAGATAACGTTACCATTATTAATATCCTGTTTTGATCGATGCTGAATTTGTTGATTATTTTTTAGATGATAATGTTGTTGTTGTTGTTGCTGTTGTTGTATCATTTTATCATTGTCATCCACCAAAACAACTTGATGATGATGATGATGATGATCAGTAACAATAAGCATATTTGTTTATAATAATAATTATTGTTTTCAAATTGGAAAAAAAAGAAATTTAAAAATTTTGATGTTTATGAAAAACAATCAATCAATCAATTATTTATCGGTTTTCTGTTTATCGAAATATATTATAATTTTCATCATCATCATCATCACTATCATTATCAATCGATTGATTGATTTGTTTCGATTTCATTAAATTATTATTTGAATATCGAAACATTGTGGAATTTTCTTTTTAAAAATTTTTCAAAAAAATGTATGCTAAATACAATAGATAAACAACATATTCAGTGAAGAAGAAGAAAAACAGAAAACAACAGCACAAATCAAATGTCCAACAGGTTAATGATGATAAAAGACAGCAAAACAGCAATACCCGTAAAAATAACGGCAATCGTTGATTATAATCAAGTTGGTTTTAGTATGAATACCGTTTTTTTTCTGACGTTTAATCAAAGAAGCGTAACCCGAAAAAGAATTTGTTTCGATCGGTTTTCACAACACAAAATCTACGGGCAAACTGAACTTCTTTCCCAACAAAATTCAAAAAGATAAAAGGAAAAACCCGACAGCAACAACAACAACAACAACCAACCAACCAACCACCACCACAAACACATGACACATTTTGTCCATCAAAACACAAAACGATAAACAGATATGAATGGGGAAAAAAGCAATAAGAGAGAAAAGAAATGGTTAAACTGGGCGCCATATAGATGAATATACAGAGTCAATCAGTCAGGTAGGAAAGTCAAAGTCGTAGTGGCCAAATTCATTTTTCGAATAGAAAAACAACAAAAAAAGAGACAGCTGAGTTAGATTGGCCAACATTGTTGGCTGATCAACAATTTTGAATTGTTTTTTTTTGTTGTTGTTGGAAAAAAGCTTTAAAATATTGAAAAATCTATACAGGTGATGATTGCATTTCAAACATAATTTTTTCCGAAACAAATATCAAATGAATGAATGATGAATCCAAAAAAATTTAACCATTTTCCAAACTGCCACTACCACTAAAAAAAAAATCTTTTTTTTACTAAATCTTCATCTGAATTGTGTACGTGTGTAAAGGTAGATTTTCATTATGATGACGATTTTCAATGATAAACCTTTATATACCGATTTATGTTCAAGTATCCATGAATCCTTGATCATTTTTTTGAACAGAACAGACAACAACAACAAAAAATAACATAAAACAGGTAATCAATGTTTTTCAATATGATTATCATCAATTATTACATTGGAAATTCGATCTAAATGAAATTTTTTTTTGACAAACTTTTGTCAAATCAAAAAAATGTTTATCAATCGGTTAGATTTTTTTGCTTTTGAATTGAATTGTTTGCAAAATCTTTACCATCATTATTATCATCATTATCATGATTATGATTAAAACTAGGTCAAATTTAAATCTTGGTCCATTTCAACAGTAGTGGTAAGTGGTAGTAGTTATTGCAAAAGTAGCCGTCAAACATTTTCTTTTGCAAAAAAAGATTGTTCTCTATTACATTTTTTTTTCGTTTTTGATTAATTGTTTAAACCTGAAATTGAATACCTGACTTGTGATACCTAAAGATTCAAATATGTATGTGCTATTTACACACAAACACAAAGACACACAGATAGAAATAGGTGATAAACTAGTGTGACTGGATGACCAAAAAGCATTTTAAAAAACTGACTATCATTTTTTCCTGAAAAAAAAGGAAAAAAATGAAATTTGTTTGAAAAAAACCAGTCTGGCGCCCAATCAATGTGAAAGAAAGCAAACAACAACGGAGGCAATCCGAAAAACAAAGAGGAGAATCAAATGATAATATCATTTGATTGAATTAAATATGGATTGATAATTACTGGGAAAAAAAATAATGGTGGTTAAAGCCAAGACATTATTTTCTTAGAATGGAAAAATCGAAAAACCTCACCAATCAATCAATCAATCAATCAATCAATTTGATCAAAGATTTTAATCGATTCGTTTCGAAGAAAACAAAACGAAAGAGAAAGCAAATTCAAACAAGAAAAAAAATGGTTAATGATGACCAGCAACAACAACAAAAAAAGAGATAATCATGATTAACCAAATGATTTTGTATTTATTTTTTTTTTCGGTTATTTTTTTCAAATGAGAAAAACAATAATAAAGATCATCAATTAAGATAGTTGATATGGAAACTTTATTTCGTTATTGTTTACCTTTTAGGTGTATCTATAATGATCTCCTCAAAACAAAAAAAAAACAAATATATTATCTCACGATTCACGATTCATTAGAAACAGCAGCAGTATTATTTATTAATCGAGTTTATCAATCAATCAATCAATAAAATTAATTAATTAATTAGTAAACAAGAAAAAACAATAGATAGATTTGAATTTGGTTAAATATCTTGGATTATTATAATTAACTGATGATTCTCCCTTTTTCGTATCGTTCGAAAAATATATTCAGTTAAGTAAACACATCAGGATATTACAAAAACAAACAGGCGAACCATTTTTGTTTTGCACTGGATTATATCTCTCACGACAAACATATTATAATTTTGACATTAATCAAACAATCGAATAAAAAACCGAATCCATTTGTCAAATTTTATTCAATTTCAAAAATCAAAAATTGATTTTGTCATCACAATGAACAAAACTTGTTTTTTTTCATTCAATCACTATCGTTTGATGAACTAACGGAAAATGACAAACAAAGAAACAGAACAAACTTTCACATTATCACTACCGGCAATTGAAATATAATAATTCTAGATAAGCGCCATCTATTGTCGTTTCAGAACAATAATTAAATTTAAATTCTAAAAAGCGCGCGAGATTTCAACATAGAAAAAACGTAATTTTTTACTAAATAAAAAAAACAAAGATTTCAACCTACCATTATTATCGTTGAACATATCCATCATTTTGTTATTGTTCAATGATGATTCTGTTGTTGTTTTTGGAATAACTTTCAATATTGAACGATTTAAACAAAGTTTAAGATTTTGTTGTCGTTTTGATTGTTGCTGTTGTTGTTCATCATTATCATCATCCATAACATTATCATGAATGTTCAATATTTTGAAACGAAATGAAAGATTTGTCTTTTCTCGTTGATTCACTGTATTATTATCATGTTTTGTCATCATACTACAACTACTACGACTATTATTATTACAAACACCACTTGAATTTTGTTGCCATCGATATCGTTGTTTTGATTTTATTATTCGTACATTATTATCATTCGATTCTTCATTGAATGATAATGATGATGATGATGATGATAAATTTTTTAAATTCAATTTCAATTTCAATTCATTATCATTTGAATTTTTATTATTCTTTTTTTTCGATTTTTGTTGATTTTTTTGATAAAATTTTTGCTGCTGTATAATTGATGATTGATCAATTTTATTATCAACATCATCATCGTCGTCGTTGTCATCGTTATCAATATTCATATCATTTGATTTTAAATTATGATGATGATTTGTTTTAATGATAACAATCAATGGTGATTTAGTTTTATTCGATTGTTCAGTAGTTGTTGTTGTTGTTGTGGTTAAAATTGATGATTGAGTTTGTCTTCGTCTTATGGCCATTTTTCTTTTTTTGCTAAGTATCACCAGAAAACAATTAAAGAATTATTGATCACAGTTGTTCATCGATAAATTTATCTGTCAACCAAGAAAAAAAGGCATAATATTTTAAGGCAACCGAGAAGTAATTTCAATCACAAAAAAAAAAAAAAACCCCAGAATTGAAATTATAATGGATGGCAATCTAAAAAGAAAAAAAAAAAGGAAAAGCAAAAAAATTAGT